CTCATTTATATGCTCTCCTGGCATTCTAGAATGTCCACTTATGAAAATAAAAATGTCTAGGCATTTAATTGTGGGAATCTCAACTATCATCCATTCTTTTTCGTGTTTGAGTAGAATTTCGAGACTACCAGTAAATCAGTCATGTGAGATGTATTCACCCAATTTCGTTCAAGGTGATGACAGACTGGGAAAATTCTACTACCAGTCCTTCATCACCTTAAACGAAATAGGGTGAATACATCCCTTTTTATCATCCATTATTCTATCGCCAAAAGTGACCAAAAGTGACTCAAGCTCTTGTAAAACTGCCCAGGTAACTATAGGCGACGCCAAAGGCAAATGTGAATTTAGGTTCTGCCTCGTGTATGAAAGCAAAAGTGGTTAAATTAATACAGACCGTGCATGCTCACCTCTTTTTTCTCCTCTTTCGGCCGGTTGCTGAAGGCGACGTTGTTCGACCGCTTCTGGAGAGGCCGTCTCAGGGGCGGCCGCTTGCTGTCGAAGGAATCGAGTTTTAGGCGGAACATGCCGACCGAATCCGATTTTCCCAGTCGCACAGCCTCCTCCTCCTCTCGTGCACCAGCCGCGCTGTTCAACTGTCCTGCTTCTCCTTTCTTGCCCGTCCTTTGAACTCCGCCAAACTCGTCCGCCAACGGTCCTCTGGAAGGTCTCGACTCGCCGACCGAACTGTCCATTCGCTCGGCGCCGAAAGATCCAAACCGGCCGGTACCGTCGTGCCTGTCGCCAAGGCTGAGGGGACTGCAGAAGAGCTGCAAAGGAGGGCGCAGCATCTGGTGCGATTGAGGGTTGGTCCGATGGTACTGCGCGAGACGGTTTGGCTGCAGTTGGTAGGGGTAAGTCGAGTCGAGCCCGGCCGATTGCAGGAACAGCGCCGATTTGGCCGAGATCTCCGACAGCTCGGGGACCAGATGAAACCCGTCGAGGGTGGCAACGCAACCGGCGCCTTCATCCTCCGCCACGGGCCGTCCAGAGTGGGTGGAGGAGGCGGCGGAGGCGTAGAGAGGCCGGGACAGAGTCCCGGGTGGGGAGAGACTGTGAAGACTGTGCTCCCGAGAGGCGGCCTCGTCGTGGTTAATGCTACCGGCCATGTAGGCGTCTGTGGAAGAAAAAGTCGGATGGTACAAAAAAAAAGTTTACACAGTTGCATGTGGAGAAGAAGGAGGAGGAGCAGAGGTGGGAACGGGTGTGTAATAGGGGGGGCCGTCTTCAGTGGGGTGTGAGAGGCAACGCTAGATGGTATGAAAATGAGTGGATATATAAAAGTGGTGGTAAAATGAACGTGCGAAGTGGATCGTTTGAATGACGAACGAATGAAGAATGTTGAGATGTGGTGAGCGATAAGAAAAATGTGCAGGTCTAGACACGAAAGACCTGCAAGTAAACCAGAGGCAACCCAATGTTCAGCAATTGTATTGGCCTTGGATGAAAAATATGTTCAACTAGTCTTAAGAGAGTATAGAAAATAGTACAAATGAAGACACGCACATGTGCCAAAGTATGCCGGTATATTTTCGTAAGAATGTGGTCACGAGTAAAAAAGGGATGCACATGCTATGAATGGGAAAGATTATTGTCTTTTGATGCACCGTATACGAAATGAGATAAAAATGCATGTATTCACATGTGCCAAAATTTATTTATTCCAAAAAAACCATAATTTGCTTCTATTTAAAGGATTTAAAGGGAATCATTCGGATTGTTGAGCTCATTTTTATTTAATGTAAAAATATTTGATATGAAGATTCGAAAGTCAATCCCACTTGAAGACTTCCTCTTGACTGGTTGGCCAATTGCTTTACTGGAACACTTCCTTTCGATACCTTGTAAAAATGGGCTAAGCTCTGCAAAGATATGAGTAAAAAGTGGATTTCGAAAAATATGTTAGTTGCAGGGAATTGGTGAACCGGTCTCACCGGAACCCGAAGAAGAATTTCCGCAAAGTGAAGGCTGCCAGATTGTGTGAAGACGTCTTCGGCTCACCTTAATGCGATCACGATGGATCTGTGCTAAGCCTTCGTCTGTACCGCCGTGACGGACATCATAAAAGCAACTATGCTTACATTACAAAATAGAGTAACAATATACTAAACCAAGGGAATAGTCAGTTTTTGCGCTATTTTTAATGTATGGATGCTTTCTTTGATGGTATCTGTCAATTCAATCGCACAATCCAATGGTCTTCACTTCGCGGCAATCCTCATATGGTTTCCGATGAAATCATTCCACGGATTCCCTCCGAATAACTTTTCCTTCGAAGTGCTGAGCTTTCGTCCGTCGTATGAAAGACAGCGTTGGGCCAGGGTATTCAAGCTATTAAATGGTACAAATTTCTATAAATTGTTTGCTTGAATATGGTCGTAAGAATGATACACTTTTATGATGAATTTCGTCATACAACGTAGGAAAGCTCATATACGTTTTCTCCGTAATCAAAGAAGATTGCCTCCGAAACCGCGTCAACAAGAATGTTCCAGTTAAACCAATCGACAGCTGGTCAAGAAGAGTCAGCTGTCGTCTTCTGGTGGGATCGGCCGAACAATTATAAATCAAGCAATTCAACTAAACCCAACTTTTATATGCATAACCGCTTGAATGCCTCCACGAGACTCCATGAACATGATAGAGACCAAGGCGGTTAATGTGAATTGCTATTTAATTGTTTCTAGCTCCAGCTCAAATTTGGCAGATAACTCACGCGAAGCGACACTAAAACCTAGTCAAAAACTTTTCATTCAATCGTGAATACAAAAGGGATTTATTATGCCAGATTTGCTCCTAGTAACGGAATAGATTTACTCTTATCCACGTCTTTCCAGTTTTTTTTGCCTTTCCGGTCACGTACGGATCTCCCCAATAATCATTAAAAAACTCTGGCATTGTGCCTAGTTTAGCTTCTAAGGCAAGGTGCATTTTTTTACTTGCAACTGAGTCATACAGTGCTACTGAAATTCTATCAGTAGTCTGGTGAAAAGTATAGGTTGTGCACACTGATTCGTATGGTATACTGTCTGGCTTATAGACCAAGGCCTACAGGAGCTCCACAATTTTTCTCCGAATCTTTTTTTGGGCTTCCAATGTTGTATATCCCAATTGGAGCCTTAACTGGTGAAGATCTTGGACTGTGACGTTTCAGTTAAGTGAATTATGTGATTTTTATATTTTTTATAGGTGGCGGCGCAACAAACAAGACTTTATGGCTAAATGGTGGAGGCCATGTTGGCTAAGAAATGTCAGAGGTACGTTGAGGAAAGCTGCTAAACTTTCGCTTTTTACCTCATTGCCTGTGAAGATACATCAAAGAGTTGTTTATCTATAATCACAGTGAAACCCAAATTATGGTCCTTAGGCCTGCATATCAATGATTGGGCCAGCCACTCGATCAACAACTTTGAACCTTATCATGTCTGAGAAGAGAATCCCTCGTCTCATCCAACAAATTGCTTCCCCATCTTTTGTTTATATGTTATGAAAGAGAGGTTTTCAGAAGTGTTCTGGTAAATTACTGTTGTGTGAGTGTATGGAG